ATTTTAAGCATATAATTGCATATAATTCTAATAATTCTAAGGTATATAAGGCTAGGTGGTACAGTGGATAGAGCATTGGGCTTGGACTCAGGAAGACCCATCTTCCTGAGTTCAAATCCAGCCTCAGATACTTATTAGCTGTGTGACCCTGAGCAAGTCACTTAACCCTATTTGCCACAGTTTCCTCATCTGTCAAATGAGCTGGAGAAGGAAATGGCAAACCACTTTGCCATCATCTTTGCCAAGAAAACCCAAAATGGGGTCACAGAGAGTCAGACTGGGCTGAACAACAGAAAACAACAAAATGCTACATAAATGGGACCCTAAGTTGCAGGGTTAGTATGTTTTGTTGAATTCAGTTTATAAGAAAGTTGAAAAGGATTGTTTTGAACTAATGCAATGATTTTCTTTTTTGACTGAAAGGAAATGATATAACCAGAAAATTGTGCCACATGGAAGTTTTCTAGGTTTCATTTCTTTATTATTCTGTATACTCCATCTTCATCTCTACACCTCCACACCCCTTCCCCATCGAAGAGTCAAGTATGACCTTGAGGCTTGGATTTTCCAATAATAATAATAAATAAGGGAGCATTACTGGACCTAGGACCTCACTGGGATAAAGAACTCCAGGGAAGGAAAAGCCTGCTACCTGTACAGGGCAGCAGCCTCTCTGCACCTACGAGCCTAAGAGAGTTGCCTGGGGGACTGAGAGGCTAAGGGGCCTCTCCAGGGTCACGGGGCCAGACTGAAACACAGTTTTCTGGGGCTCCAAGTCCAGCTGTCTATTCACTAAGCCAGCTGCCTCTCAATAATAACACCCACTACCTGCATTGCTTTAAGGTTTGCAAAACCCTCTTCAGGCACTTCGTCTACAGTCTCAAAGATAAGTGCTATTACGATCGTCATTTTAAAGACAGGATGATTGACACACAGAGGGGTTAAGTGGTTTGCCCAGAGTCATACAGCAAGTCAGTATCTGATGTAAGATTTGAAAACAGGTTTTTCAGACTCCAAGTACTGTCCAATAACTTGAATTTCAGTGTGAATGAACTGATTTGCCAAAGATGGAAACACAAGGAATTTTAACAAAGGGAATGGTCCTAAAATTCCAAGGTATCTCTTGGAGAATGATAGATGTAACCCAACCTTCTGAGGGCCAGAACTACAAAATGCTGTGCTGATAGCATCTTAAAATAAAGGCTTTGGGTCTTTTTAGTTTCAAAAATCTTCAAGGATCTTTTTGATCTCAAAGAATCTATCTACTTTCAGTAGCTTTAAACTATAATTGCCAAGGCTCCTTGATGGGGAAAAAATCAAGGACTCAAAAAAAAAAAGCCTCAATACAGGCTGGGGGGGGGAGGGAACTCTTTCCTGGTCTGCAAAAACCGTCAGCAAGAAGCTGTTTGCAATTCTTCTACATGGCATAGGATAGAGGAAAAGCTGGGAGCCAATGGGAGAGAGTCAGGTGGTCTCTCTGCCAGATAGCAGGAATATACAAAGAGTAAAGAGCTCAAAAGAATCCATATCCCAAGAAATTATGAACAAGCATAATCAACTTGTCTTCATTACCCACAAATATGGGATTTCCACTTCATCATCCAGGTCACTCTAAGTTTATAAAATGAAAAAAATCTCACTGGGAAATGTGTCAGCCACTTTCTCTGAGTGATGGACAAGTGCATTAACTTCACATAAATGTTCTCCCTAAACCCCCAAGCTAACAACAGGCTGTTTCCCTGGGGTATCTCCCAAGAGGGTTGAGCTTGACCTTCAAAGCCAGAGAAGGAGGAGGAGGAGAAGAGGAAGAGGAAGAAGAGGAGGAGAGGAAGAGGTAGAAGGAGGAGAGGAAAAGGAAGAAGGAGGAGGAGAGGAAGAAGGAGGAGGAGGAGGAAGAGAAGGAAAAGAAAGAGAGAAGAAAAAGGAGGAGAAGGAGAAACTTGGTGTTTTGTGACATTTATCTGCATGCTGCTTTTTAGCACCTAGAAATAATGGGAAGCATTGAGGAAAAAAGCTCCTATAAACACTGACAAACAAGGGACAGGCAGCCACTGTGACTCAGGACAGGGTCTAGCTCATCTAATCGAATCTCTCTTTCAGCAAGCTGGCTACCTGTTCAATTTATTTTTAAGAACTTTAATATAGTAGACTTTGGTTGTATTTTCATGAAATAATTTCACTGTAAACTATTTGGATCAATCAACAACCAAGAACCTGCTTTATGCTAGGAAATATGGATACAAAAACAAAGAAACAGTCTCCATTTTCAAGCACCTTCGTTCTGAATAAAATAAAAAAGTTCTTTCTTGTTTGCTTTGTTTTTCAAATAGGATTTTGGGTGACTTTCATTCAAAAATTAATTTCTGGGAAGATTCCAAAAGGAAACTATATCTCCTTGCCTGTGGTTGCCTTCAAAAGGCAGTTGGTTTTAGGATTACAGAGCCCAGATTCAAATCCTTCCCTTGTCATTACTCTCTATGAGATGTTTGACAGGTCGCTTTATGCCTCCGCTTCTGGCCTCTTCTTTGCACAAGAAGGGCTGGGCTGGAGGGGCTCTGATCACCTTCCCAGCTTCCTCTCCAGGCTCCTCTAACCTGAGTTCAAATCCTGGCTCCTCCCCTTGGTTTTTCTGTCCTAATTTAACTACTACACACCTCTGGGCCAAATTTCCTTTTCTGTAAAGTGAGGAGCTTGGATGATGTGACCTTTACTGTCCTTCTAATTCTTATGTTTCTAGGTATTTGGAGGCTGATTCTATCTACCATTTTTAATGTTTTCTAATATAACATAATATATATGATCCATTATTTATTTGTTTATTTTTCACACAAAGGCATGCAAAAGCCCAGGAAACTCTCTAATGCTACAAGTTATACAATGATTGTCATGTGCATTGGTCAAAGATACTTCTTACTAGAAATCCCCTTTATCAAAGACAGACATCATAGATCTACATAGGAAGAAGAAGAGGGTGGGTGGGGGGAGTACAGATCACATGAAAGAACATCCTAAGCAAGTATGTGTGCATGCATGTGTGTATATGCATATGTACATGTGTCTGCACACACAAACATGAGTAAAATATTCCTTGATTCTGGGTATCAGAGACTTTGAGGAAACATTGACTAACGCTGGTGAAGGCCTCCCACACCATAATACCATTGATTTCATTGCTGAATATGGGGACGTGGCAGCTGCTGGCTCTAGCTGGGTCAGCAATTCAAGCGGTAATGTAGCAAAAGCTATTTTTCCTTTCATGGAACAAACATAAAGTTCTTCATTAAAAATGTAGCTGCTGAGAAGAGCACAAAACAAAACCCCAGCCAGCCTTTCCCACCTTTACCCGTCCACACCAGACTCACCGAGGACGGGGACAAACACCCAGGATCTGCTGGTTCCAAATTCCCCACTGAGGCACAAAGCATCCCCCCTTCCCCAGTTATAAATCACAGCATGAAGTTTTTGTGAGAGCACATGTGTTCATGTGTGCTTGTTTGTGTATGTGTATAGCACATATACAGAATATGGCACAGAACACAACTTTCTCTAGGTTCTCTGTCTCTCTGTGTCTCTGTTTCAGTGTTTCTGTCCGTCTCTCTCTCTCCCTCCCTCCCTTCCTCACTCTCCATTACACTGACACCATTAACTCTTATACACACCAAAAGTCAGGAACAACACTAATGTAACATTTACTCAATGGAAGGCAAAAGTAAGAAAATTGAAACACAACAGAGCATCCACAAACCTAGGTCACAACCCATCAACAAATACAGGGCATGTTGGGGAGAGAATGGGGATAAACTTATAGAAATCTAGCAATGATGCATGTGAGTAGAGAAATCTATGTTCTTGGGGAAACTTATGCCTCTGGATTATAGGTGTAGATGTTTGTGATCTCTTTGGGAAACAACCTACCGCTCTATACCTGTTTCTCTTTTAGTCTCCCCACTTTCCTAATGGATGACGGCACCTCTTTGCTACTCTCAATCTGCTGAAACAGGATGAAGCTATTTTATCTCATTGTAGCCTAAGCCCTGGAGTCTGCAGAGCTTCTCACATCTATTCCCTTGCCTAGGCACTGAGGCAACGTGAAACTCATTTGATGAAAAGCAGCCCCCTTCAATCCTGGGATCTGAAAACCTGTTCAGGTCTTGCTCTCTATATATGTTAAGATGTTTTCCCCTTGAACCACAGAGGGTGATAAAGGGCAATGTAAGTAGGTCATCAAAGGGTTTCCCCTCTCCCAAACTATAGATAACACTGGAGAACAAAGAAGTCTTTCACTAGCCACCTCTCTAAACAGAAGAGTGTGGTGCTTTTATCACTCAGCTCCCAGCATTATGGTTTTCCTCCAATCAGATCAGCTCCTCACAACTCCTACAGCACCAGTCTATCAGCCTATCAACCTCAATGCCTGTCAGCTTCTCAATTCCACTAGTTTCCATGTTATGCCTTGTCTGCACAAGTCTCTTCATTGCTTCTCTAAGTCTTCTCAAACTATGGTTTCTCAACTGGTTTCTAATAGCTCAGATGAAGACCTTTTCACGTATAGTCACTCATTTCTAACTTAGGTTGAGAAACCCAAGTCTCAATGTCCATAATTCCAAAACAAATAGTCAATGTTTATAATAATAACATAGATTATGTAATAGTTATTATACATTAGTTCCATAGTCCCCAGTTATTCAATTCAGAATATTCTAGCATTAAGGTCCCCCCAAATTGCCTTCTTGGCAACAATGCACTGTAGCCCCCCAGTCATCCCTTTAGTTTCTGAGAGGTAGTACCTTCTCTGGGATTCTTTTAATGCTTTTTATCTGTGGAGGAATGCTTTCTCTCACTTCCTTAGAACCATTTGTGATTCTCTTTAGGTTGCTTTTCTCTGTGTTTCCCAGTAACATCCTTTTTATGCCCATGTCAGAAAATAAAATGTTCACATAAGAAAGGAACATGTTCATTTGTACATTTGTCACTTTGGAATTCTCAAGTTGTACTGTGACTCCTGAAATGTATAAGTTTATTTAGAAGCTGTACCTCACAGGGAACTTACAACGAACTGGTAAACCCAGTACATTTGTCTGATGTAATGTTATTTACACTAGACAAGCCTTACAAGACCAGCAAGACATGCTTCGGTGTTGAAAAAAGTCAGAGAAAGGGTGCTGTTCTTGCACTCCCAAATCACTGCCAGCGTCACAAGGCTACACTTAGCTTTCCTCGGCCTCACTTTCTCCATCTGCAAAATGAATGGGTGAAAAGCAGAACGATGTATTATTGGCCTGAGCATTGAATCTGGAACCTGGTAATGAATCCCAACTGTCCTCAGTTTCCTCACCAATAAAATAAGGGCATTGGAACAAATAAACTTTAAGGTCTCTTTGAGCTTTATGCTTTCCATGAATGCCAAGCTGTATCATTCAAATTTCAAAAGACTAAGAAGCTGGAACAGATACATTTTATTTGCTTGTGTGTTGTCTCCCGTGATGGAATCAAGTTCTTTAAGGAAAAAGATTATTTCACTTTTGTCTTGCATCCCCAACACCTACCAGTGTCTGACACATAGTAAGCCCTTCATAAATGACTGATAGCTAATATGTGGGATGACTGAATCAGGCTGGAATGATGGGCTGAAACAAATGCTATAAATGTCCTAGACTGGAACAGTAGTGGCCACTCACAGGCCCAATCCACTGCTGACTGGCACAGAGCCCTGACCTGCTCTTTTTTCAACACCACTTTCCTCCTCCTTAGGCAGCCAGGTGACCCTCTACTCCTAAGGGCTAGCCATATCGATGCTGTAGTTTTCAGATCTCTTTAGCCTCCTGTGTTTCTGAAATCCCAAGGTCAAGTGATATACCAGCCTGAGCCACTCCACAGCCGTCGTTAGAGGCAAATGTAATCTCACTCAGCAAAACCAGATTTCAATATAGCTTTTGACAAAGCTTTTTGTGATTTTTCTAAGGGTAGAATGGGAACATGTGACCTAAATGATGACCTAATAGGATGAATTCAAAACTGATTGAATGATTGGGCTCAAAGCATATTGATCACTGGATTGACAATGACCTGGAAGGAAGAAAGTCTATAATATTTTAATCTCCCTGGTTATAGGTCCACCCCTTCTAAATCTTCTTAGGAGGATCATCATTCATGTTCTTCCCTCTCACCAAGGAGGTCTGAGACTTTGTCAACAGTTTTTGTCTCTTCCATTTATCAACATCTCTAGTGGTGATTTCATGAACTCTTCTGACTATAGTTCCCATCTCTCTGTCCATGATTCCCATGTCTGTATATCTTGCCACAGGCTCTCTTCTGAGTCCCAGGTCCACACCACCTTTTTATCTCAAATTAATTGGATTGTTGATATCCAAAGCTCTCTCTCTTCCTCACTCCTCCTTTTCTGTTGAGACACCAGCACGCATCTGGTCCCCAAAGTTGGATGCCTTGGAGTCATTCCCCACTGCTCATTGTTCCTTTCCTCTTCATATCTGACTAATTGCATGTCCATGTCTCTCAGACCCACCCATTCTCTCCACTCACACAATGACCCTCTTAGTTCTGCATCGCTTCTCTAAGCAAACAGTCTTCTGATCATTTTCTCAAATCTTTTCCCTCTGTGATCTATCCTCCACAAAACCAACACAAGGATATTCCTAAAGTACAATTTTGACCACGTCACTCTGCTATTCAAAAAGCTCCTCTGGCCAGTAGTTGCTGTCAAGAAAAAATATAAATGTTAAAATACTTTACAAAAAAGGATATCAATGAAAACAAATTTTAAAAACCCAAGCCAAAAAGAAGTCCAATGAACTTAAAAAACAAAACACTTCATACTTTAGTTCCAACTTCCCCATCCAGGTTCATTATACAATCTTCCATTTCATGCACTCACATTTCAGCCAGACGAGTCGACTTCTTTTTCTTTGTACATGCCATTTCATCTCTTGCCTCCATGCCTTTACCTCAGCTGTGCCCCATAGCTAGTATACATTCTCTTCTCACCTCCACCTCTTCAAATACTTATTTTCCTTCAGAGTTCAAGTGTCACTTGCTCCATGAAGTCTAATTCTCACAAGAAAATAACTGTATTTCTACAGTATAGATTTTTTATTTACATATATGTGTGTTTTGTTTCTCTCAATAGAACAAGTTTATTAAGGGTAAATAGGTATTTTTTTCTTTCTATCACCATAGCAAAGTGCTCAGTGCATAGTAGGTGCCCAACAAAGCTTTTTTGAATGAATGAACAGTGAATAATGAATAAATGTGCATCAAAGCTCTATCCTCTGGGCAGTCCTGTTCAAGACTTTTTATCAGTGACTCAGATGACAGCAGAGATGCTACACTTGGAATATTTCAGACAACATAAAGTGAAGAGGGATCACTAATTGCCAGATGACAGGATATGCATTCCAAAGTACATTGGCAGGATGCACGTGACTTTAAAAAAAAAAAAACAGCTGCCAAAGGAGAAATGCTGAGGTGCAGCATCCTTCACCTGTTAATCCAGTGAACAAGATTTCAGAATCACACCTGACCCCAAGGTCAATGTCAGCAGTGCCACCTCCCCAGAAAAGGCCATTTTATTTAGATCAACAACTACAAGGAACCTACAAAGCCAATCTAGCTCCCAATGGATAGAGGAGGAGACTGTGGACACCGGGAAACACTCAGGGATTTGCCCTAGGTCACCCAGATGGAGAACTGGGACTCCAAATCCATTGAGAAGATGGCTGGAAGTGAGATGATTCTCACAGGCCAAAGAAGGGGGGGGCGTTATCTGCTTAATTCGATTAGTTTCAATTTCAAATCAGTATCCTGAGTGCCTACTGGATGCCAGGTCCTAGAGATAGGAAGACCAAAATGAAATTTCAAGAGAGACGGAATGTTACCAACTGGGAGGGGATTAGAAAGGGCCAAATGTTGGCCCCTGAGCTGTGCTGGGCTTCCAAGCTGAGCTGGGGCTCCATGCCCCTTCCAGTCTAACTGGCATGACTCTCAAGGCACAGAGAACAGTCATTACACAGAGAGGCCATTTTTCTGATGACAATCTCTGGGTGGAGGGGCAGGGAAGCATCCCCTTGTCAAGTTTATTCTGGGATGCCCAACCATTCTGAAGGTGTTTGCTTCTAAAGAACTGACAGTCTGAGTGGGGGAAGGAAGATTCTGCCTCTCCTTCAAAAATGGACACAAACACTCTCCCTTCTCCAGTGTTGCTGTCACTGTCAGAATATTAAGCTTCCCAGTAAGTTCTCCACTCATTACCAGGCCACCCCAGCTTTGTGACAGGCTAGCCCTAATACAAATCTTAAGAGCTATCTTCGACCTTCCAAAAATAGTAGTGTGAGATTTCTTTAGCGAATGTGAGAGGGTGAGGGGCTATAAATCTCCACCAGTAATGCTGCTTATTCAATTTAAAGCTAGGAGCTTGAAGGAGATTAATGAGATCAGTTGTCCACTGGTCGAGGGAAGAACAGAGGCTCTAGCCTATCTTATTCCATCTCCTGTTGGAATCATTGTAAGTGTTATGTAATGTGACATTCACACATTATTGAAGGCGTTAAAGGGACAGATTGAAACGTGCTAATCAGAGGGTCATTTTTCATTTGCTTGCAGCCTCCAAAATTAATGATGCCCTTCTTTTTCTATTAAGGCTTTTAAAAAAATAGTTATATTAAGAAATGGAATGTGGGAACAGTAAGAACATCACTGTTGAAATTTCATTATATTTCCCCATGGTAACGAATCCCATCAGGGCTGGAAAGCAGGCTCCAAAAACCAAAACAGATCCTGTTCTGGTTCATTAAATTTCTAACAAAACACTTGGTTAAAAAGGATATTTTCACAGAAGCACAAAATTTCAATGCCAGAAGCCACCCAGGCCAAGCCATCCCTGAATGGGAATCCCCTCACAGCATAGCTGAAAAATGGAGCCCTCCAACATTGCTTCAAGACCTCAAGACCCTTCCCCTCTCAAGTCCACTTGTTCCAAGTTTGCCAGGGTGTGTGTGTTTGGTCTGAGCCTTTATAAGGAACTCAGATGATCTTTCCATTCTCCTAACTGGGTTCAGGACAGGGTCCTTCATGGACAGTGGGAGGGGAGGCCAGGGTGACCTGGGTCTCTCTGAAGGACCCAGAATGCCTTGGTGGCCTCAATGCACAAAATAAAGGAAAGTCCAATATTGAATTTCCCCTGAGGATGCATAGAAGCCTCCCAGGAAGTGTTTTGGTGTTTTAATTACATATGAAACTGCTTCAAAATGTCATCATAAATAATTTAGAAAGACGTAAGCCAACACACGCACTAACACACACTTTCTCTGGAGCTGTGGTTTTCCTATTCATGCTAGGAACTTGGATTGTTTGGAATTCGTCAGTGTGAGACAAGTCCATTCCTTCTCTTTGAGTCCAGCTCAGAATAAGCCCCAGCCTTGTCAGTTTGTTTAGTAACATTCTTGTTAAATCATTTAAAATGAATCTGCTACAAGGAAAGCATCTGCCTTCGGCAGGAGGAGATAAGTTTGTATCAAGTTTTGGAAAGCCAACTGCTAACTAGTCGACATTTCAGGCGCTAGGTGGCGCCATAGTGCACAGAGCGCCTGGCCTGGAGTCTGGAAGACTCCTCTTCCTGAGTTCACATCTGGCTTCAGACACTAACTAGTTGTGTGACCCTAGGCAAGTCACTTCACCCTGTTTGCCTCAGTTTCCTCATCTGTAAAAGGAGCTGGCGAAGGAAATGGCCAACCACGCCAGTATCTCTACCAAGAAAACCCCAGCTGGGGCCATGAAGAGTCAGGCACAACTGTAAATCACTCAACAGTACAACTAGTTGAAGCTAGGGAGAGCTGCGTTCTTCCTCCTCTCTGCCCCATCCCGCAGACCACTCACGTTTTCTGTTTTCCCTTCCATAAGGCAATCTCCCACCGCCATGTTTTTGCACAAACTGTTCCAAGATTAAGCCCAAGAGATGCTTCCTCCAGGAAGAGATGCTTCCTCCAGGAAGCCCATCTTGATCTCCCCAGGTGCTGGTGCTCTCCCCCACCAGGAACTATTTTGTTTTGACTTTATAAGTCTCTGTCTGCCTGCTGTCCTCTTCCAGTAGAATGGAAACTCCCCAAAGGCAGGCTCTAGTTAATTTTCACATCCCTGGTCCCTTACCCAACGACCGGCCCAGAGCAGACGTCTAATAAATGTTTTCTGTGTGAATTGGCGAGTTTCACTGAGCTTAGTTTTCTT